GATTTATCAGGAAGATTGGGACCAAGATTCCACCAGTCAACATCGAGGAAGGCCAGAAACTTGAAGTAATCATGTTTGGTGGTGTCGAACAAGGCTTTTAGCAGTGGGCCATTCTGGGGATGGGAAAGAGCGCCCGTAGTGGTTAAAGTTCGTAAGACATCTGGGAACTTGAAACGTCAATACGGGAGGGTATCTAGCAACGGAAGTGCTTCAGTAGCTTCAACGTATGTGGGGAGGGTTGTGTTGAGTGTAGCAGCGGTGCTGCAAGCACGTTCAACATTAGCTTGATATACGCCATGGGGTAAAATCCAACCAAGGAACCACTCTAGGAACTCGTAAAGGGTCTGGAATTTGAGGATGCTTGATTTGGATGCGGCGAATGCGTCACGACCGCTCTATACTTGAGTTGGGGAAGCGTGCAACAAACTTCATACAAACGCAAAGCATCGAAACGATGAAAACGTATCTGTCTAACCAAAGATACGAGGAGGTTCTCACGGCACAGAAAATCCAAGCCATACAATGGATATATTGTTTTGGTTGAGGAAGTATTGGGTTTAGATGTAATAGTAGCAAAAGGAAGTAGGCAGGCAGCCAAGCGTGCAAGCATAGTAAAAGGAGCAACGGCCATAAGACCGTGGTAGCGAAAGAAACAAAAAGGCAAAAGCAATGTAGATGGATTCAGGCGACTGGATGATGAATGTGCCGAATGGGCGTACGCAACTTAAGCAACAATGTGGAGAAGATGGTCCATACCGTTGACAGCAACACGAACAGCAGGTGGTTTGGGTGGGTACCAGTATCGGTAAAAACAGAACGGGGTACGTAGCAGGTACATGAAACTATTGATGGCAGTAAGGAATAATGTGGCAAAACCAAGTAATTGGAAACAGGCAGTGGTAAGGTAATTGGCGAAGGAATACTGGACCCAGGCATCCACAGCATCTTTAGCATAGGAGTAAGCGTAGTGACACCCCATGAAGGTGTGTTTGGTGGTAGATATACCAGGTAGATATTCTGCAAATCAGCCGGAGAACATTTGAATAGGGATTTAAAGGCAAAAACGAAGTTGACAACGTGGCAAGTGCCGACAAATGGTATTGGTAACTCTACGGGGTAGTTGGTTTGTTGGTAGGTTTCAAGGTGGACCTGGAGAAACCATTCTGGCATGAATTGTAGGACTCACTGACTAACAGGGACGACCCAGGTTTGAAACATAATACTATAAGCAGCGATGAAAGGGTGGTAGGACCTAGTGATCAGGCAACGACCACAAGCAGAAGCGTGGTGAGCGGATAAACGTACTTATAAGGCAGCTAAGTAAGCACTTGTTGAAGATTTTGGTTATGAAAGGGGATGACGTGATGTAGTATTCAGTCCGAAGTATAGCGGTTGATTTATTAAAGTATAAAATTATATAAAAGAGGACGAAAGCGGGCATATTTATAGCTGAGAGATTGGATGAGTAGTATTTGTAGTAGACGCGTTTAAGGAGTGTCAACGATGCGAATACGTCGAAAGGGTTTTACCTAGTTACGGTCGAGACTAGATAGGGTAAAGACCGCGTCACCATAACAACGCATTGGTATTATATCACACTATCCCATTTAGAAGTTAACGAAGAAATGAAAGATAGGCAGTTGTAGATTAAAGCACGTCTTTGTATTGAGTGTACCTCTTTCAGACAGCTAAGTCACCTCAACATGCAAATCAATATTTGCAACTGCAACCAGAGCCTTTAAACTATTTTAGGAAGATAGCAATGCGAATTGCACCGAATGGATAAGATCTTCCGTCAGTTACTTGGTTATATTTCTCACGAATGTACAACATTTTCAGAGCCAGCTTTTCACAGCCGCTTATAAGGGAAACTGGCAAAGTAGTTGGTCACCACCTCAATCAGCCCTAACCCGAAAGAGTTGTAGGGGAAAAAGAATTATACCAAACACAAACCTCATGATAACTCTGCATTTTATCTTTAGTATGGAAACAAAGACGAAATGATTCGTTTCCGGTACTCTACCGCTTATATCAAAGAAATATTGTAGACATCAATCTATAGTTTACTAGAGCGTTTACAACAATTTTTGTAAACTTTTCAACCACAAATAGATATTTCAACTAGCAGTATTTCAACCACATGATAATTAAATCGATAGATCAACGATAGAATAAGATGAGAAGAGAAGGGAGATTACTTTCCACATGATTTGAAGCAGATTGGAAGAGGGTCAAAAATTAGCCGCCCACAGAAATTCCTTTTTGTGGACTTCTTTTTGTAAACTTTTCAACCACAAACAGATATTTCAACTAGCAGTATTTCAACCACATGTTAATTAAATCGATAGATCAACGTCAGAATGTGATTGGAAGAGAAGGGAGATTACTTTAAACATGATTTGAAGCGAATTGGAGGAGGGTCAAAAATTAACCGCCGAAGGAAACCCTGTTTGTAAACTTGTGTTTGTACACTTCTTTAACCACAAAAGCAAAGTTCAAACCCAGATTTCAATTATCAATAAAATGAAATGCACTGGCAGTGGGATGTCCTGAATCACTTATAACATTGCCAGTAGCTTATGTTGTAATATCAAAGGTTTCAACTTTAGCTGAAACCCTTGTTGAACCACATATAAGGAAATTTTGACAAATGGATCAAATCCTCAATATTTTTCCATGAAATGATATATATTATTAGACACATCATGAGATAGACCAACGGATATAGGCTCCCTTAACTAGGCCTTGTGGGAGGGTCGAATTGACGTCAAATTAGATTATGATCACATGACAATTTTCACATGACTTTCACGTGCATCCGGTTTTGTGCTACTAATGTCACGTGGGTTGTGGCACGTGATTTGCACGTGAAACGCCGCGACCGCCCAATTCGTTAACGCATTATGTTGCACATCGCCATCATTTGGCACAGTTAGTTAGATCGTGTACCGCTAAATTGTCTTTTTTTTTGTAATTTTAAGATCTAATGTTCGACCCATGCACTGGACCCTGTGGTTTATTTATGCTTAAACTTATGAAATTTAAAGCCAAATGGAAGAATTCCGATTTTACATTAAAGTTATGAACAAATCTGCCTGTTTTACTTATATTTGGTCCTATTTTATTTAAAATTAAAAAGCGATTGTAAGACCAATTTTTTGTAGCAAACGGGATTCTAACAAATTCTTCGCCAGTGAAAACTATAATAAAGGTATTCTTTAACATTTTCCCCAACTTGGATACTGTTTCCTATGGTATATCAACGAAAGGAGATTGTTCTCCACAATTTAGGAAGCAAATCAAAGGAGTGTTGAAAACTAGCCGCCCACAGAAATTCCTTTTTGTAAGCTTCTTTTTGCAATGCAATGCAGCATTTCCTGCAATAAGTGGTCGAGAATGAACCGTCATCTCTTAATATGCGCTTCAAGGACAACTTGGTGTTGCTACTTGTTCTGCAGTTTTGGAGATTATTGAGATATACCGCGACAGGACGAGACTTCCTTCCGTCGCATTTGTTGTATTCGTCGCGATAGACATTAACTGGTGACTTTCACATATTTACGTCATTCCAATAGGAGAACTTAACCTTAAAGATGCAGTTAAACTCCAGAGGGTTGTCTATCCGGTGGTTTGCAAAATGATTCAACGCTCTTATTCTGAATGACGACTATTTCCAAACCTAAGGCATTTCATTGGTTTTTGGTGTTGGTTTGCAAAGAATTGATAATTTTCAGTTTTAGTATAGGCAATCGGTATGACAGGCTCTGAAACAAAAAGAACCCAGAATAGACGCAATGTGAACTTCAATATTAGCTTCAGAACGTTAGACCGTTCTCTGGATGATGAGTCGGCATTACATTCAGTTTATCAATCTCTAATACTTTTCAACTGATATCTGGTTCCATGACAATCATAACAAGTAGTAAACACTAGAATTGAATCATGTGGTAATACGTGTCTATGGACAACATAAATTAGACGCTTGTGATCACAACTAGAATAGCGAATCGAATAGTTTACCGAGACAAATATCCATTTGTCGGTAATGGAAAACTTATCCCAGTGACGATGAACAATCTTTTGTGGTTATCGACTTGCAGGCGGTACATACATGAGCCGAATCGCTTGATGTGCAACTGTGGGAATAGCAGCATATAAAGTAGTTCGGGTCAATTGTAGATGCTTATTACACTTGGAAGGAAAGTGCACACCTAAGCAATCCGCTGGGTTGCTGAAAAACGGGCTAGTGAAGAAATTTGTCCTGTAACTCGTTGGAATCCACTTCAGTGTGCTGTTCTTGATAAGCATACCTTTCGTGAATAATCAGTTTTTGAGGTGAACAAATCATGTGGTTATTTTTCTTCAAAATTTTATTTTCCGTTACATGACTCAGCCTTACTATTGTTGTGTAATAATGATGTGATGATTCACCGCGCATTTAGTTTCCAAGTTAGGCAATTTATTTTCTTTTTGAAAAATTCCCTCATGTTAGCCACACACCTTGAAATTACAGAGAGAATAGGAAGGTTACTACTCTAAACCCCTTTATCAATGTAGATTATCATATAGCTTCCATGGATTATTATATTCTCATATTATTCTTCCACTTCTCTCAATAAAAACATGGAATCAATAAAAGAAAAATAATGAATATCCGTTGGAATACAATACAGAAGTAACGAAGATATTTTTAGGTTTTCCACTCTATGAATTAAATATTTTTTTCTCTTTCGTTAAACTTTAAAAAAAACACCTAAGGTTAAATAAAGAAAATTTTCCTAGTCATTTTAGCAGATTACCAATTTCTAATACCCTTTAATAAGTCTCAAGTTTATTCTTTCTACTTTAATATCGCTGTATCTTCTAGACGTATACACAGATAATAGCCATGGTTGAATCAAAATCTAAGAAGTTTAAGTTTGGTAAATTGTTTGGACGACTGAGTAGTAGCTTAGCCCATATCCATGAAGAACAGCTATCAATAATCAAATCAAACCCTGAGACTGCCGCAGCAGTAGATTCTATAGAACTACCCAAAGCAACAGCAATAACCCCATCGGCATCAACAACTGCGGTTCATAAATCTATTGAAAACACTGCACACCGATCGACTAATAAGCAGTCTAATTCAGGGCCGTTTATGGAAAAGCCATATATATCATCTCCTGCCTCAGCGTCATTATCGTCATCGTCAGCATCCTTCCAAGACCTTGTTAGAAACTCACGGCCGCTGTCACCACCAGCTTTGTTGTTGAACGAAGAAGTGTTATCAACTAAATTAATGACAATTCATTCCGTAACTCCTCCAAACGGGGGGTCTCCCACTACCACATCTCCAATACTGCTATCATCAGTCGAGCAAAAGCTAAGAAACCACTCTGCGATGACACAGACGAATGTCCAACATGTATCAAACCTTAACCAACTGCTCCACCAACCTCGTTCAGGCACAGCCTCATCAGTCTCAATTAGCAATGGCTACAAACTGGAAAAGAGATCCAGACCTTCTCCATCAGTTTCAAGATCTGCCTCTCAGAAACGGTCAGTAACAGGCTCTAACGTTTCATTGTCCAGTGCTTCTCCCGCCCCTCAAAAGCCTAGATTTTATATGTTGGAAAATGGGGACCATGAACACAATTTGAGATCGGCCAAAAGACAAGAAAAGTTATCCAATATGTTAAAAGACTTGTTAGGAGCAAAAAGGCTACGTGATGAAGCAAAGTCTGCAGTTCCCGATATTTTACAAAGCACCACTCCATCTGCGACGAATACTCAGCAACTGAAACCACCCACCCTATTTGCAGGATTAGTTAATCGAGTTAAAAATAATCCGAACTACTCCAATGAGTTAATAGCGAATGGTGCACATGGACCGGATTATCGTTCGTTTGTGGAAAAGTATGGACGGTGTCAAGAGGTGATTGGGAGAGGTGCTTTTGGTGTTGTTCGAGTCTCTCACAAGAAATTAGATGGTCCATCAAATGAGGAAACATTATTTGCGGTAAAGGAATTTAAGCGTAAGCCAAATGAAAATGAGAAAAAATACAACAGGAGACTAACTTCGGAATTTTGTATTTCATCTTCTTTAAAGCATATAAATATCATAAACACCTTAGACTTGTTGAAAGATGCAAAGGGAGATTTTTGTGAAGTTATGGAATTCTGCACTGGAGGCGATTTATACACTTTAATTATTGCCCAAGGGAAATTGGAATATGCTGAAGCAGATTGTTTTTTTAAGCAACTAATTAAAGGTGTCAACTATATGCATGATATGGGTGTTGCCCACCGTGACTTAAAACCAGAAAATCTATTATTAACTCAGAATGGTATTTTAAAGATTACTGATTTTGGTAATGGTGAATGTTTCAAAATGGCTTGGGAGACGGAAATACAGTATTCCGAAGGTATATGTGGCTCCTCTCCATATATCGCTCCAGAAGAGTTTACGCAAGAGCTATTCGATCCCCGATGTGTGGACGTTTGGGCGTGTGGTGTAATTTATATGGCGATGAGAACTGGGAGACAGCTATGGAAATTGGCGGACCCTACCAAAGATGAATTCTTTGAGGAGTATTTAGTGAAAAGAAAGGAAGCTACAGGCTACGAGCCAATTGAAAGTTTGAAAAGAGCCAGATGTCGGAACGTCATTTATTCCATATTGGACCCCAAACCAGAGAGAAGAATTACTAGCAAGCAGATATTGAACAGTGAATGGGGTCGAGAAATTCGAGTATGTGCTGCTGGTGAAGGAAAAAGTAGCACATCAGGACTAGCAAGCACCATAGTCGAATAAGAGGAAAAGTAACAATGGCAAACGGTAAATCTTTGTTGATAGGATTTTAATAACTAAACAGGAAATAGCTCTTTTCTATATTGTTAGACGAAATTAATTTATTATTTATTCAGGTTTATAGCAAGTAGTAGTTGTTGTTTTACTAGCAAACAACATCTGACGCGTCTATTTTATCCCTGTGCATATTTCACTTTCGTTTTTTTCTTCTCTCAAAGTGAGCTGTCTTTTTTTTTGGTTTTGATTTAAAACGAATTTAACTAGAAGAAAACGTTCTTGTTACTTCGGGAAAGNTTCTTGTTACTTCGGGAAAGCGAGGAGCAAAGACACGTTCTATAAATTATTTCCTTTCGAGAATGTATGTGAAATATGATTCCATCCTTGTTGGAGATTTTCTTTATTTCATACTAACAACCATCTTCTAGATACTCGTGATTTCATCCAATATCGATACAGTTACTGAAGACAACATGGTTGAATTATCAGACTACCAGCGTCAAGAGAAGGTAGGAGAAGGTACCTATGGTGTTGTGTACAAGGCACTTGATATAAAACATAACAATAGAGTCGTCGCGCTCAAGAAAATTCGATTGGAATCAGAGGATGAGGGGGTTCCTTCCACTGCTATTAGAGAAATTTCACTTTTGAAAGAAATGAAAGATGATAATATTGTTAGATTATATGATATTATTCATTCAGATTCCCATAAGTTATATTTAGTTTTTGAATTCTTAGATTTGGATTTGAAGAAATACATGGAATCCATTCCTCAAGGTATGGGTTTAGGATTGAAGATGATTAAGAAATTCATGTGCCAATTGGTTAAAGGTATCAAATACTGTCACTCACACCGTGTATTGCATCGTGATTTAAAACCACAGAATCTATTAATCGATAAGGAGGGAAACTTGAAGTTGGCCGATTTTGGTCTTGCAAGAGCTTTCGGTGTTCCTCTAAGAGCTTATACACACGAAGTTGTGACTTTATGGTATAGAGCCCCGGAAATTTTATTGGGTGGTAAGCAATATTCAACTGGGGTGGATATGTGGTCTGTTGGGTGTATTTTTGCTGAAATGTGCAATAGAAAGCCTTTGTTTCCAGGAGACTCTGAAATTGATGAAATATTCAGAATTTTTAGAATCTTAGGTACTCCCAATGAACTGATTTGGCCCGACATCAATTATTTACCTGATTTTAAACCAAGCTTCCCACAATGGAAGAAAAAGCCGTTACTGGAAGCAGTTCCAAGTTTGGATAGAGATGGTATTGATCTCTTGGAGCAAATGCTTGTGTACGACCCAAGCCGAAGAATAAGTGCAAAACGATCACTTGTACATCCTTATTTTCAAGAAGATAACGACGGCAATGGCCATAACAATGGCAATGTTTCAGGGCATACCACAAACTATGAAAATGTTTCAATGATGGGATAGAATTAAATAAAGAAAGTTAGGAGATATATAACGTTTAGATTTGGATCGTCTGGTTGTATTTATTAGGTAGATTAACTACTCTAGCATTGCCGTGCAATTACATAAGCTATTAACAAAACAAGCAGTGTAATGAAGAATACTGTTGAGATGTTCGTCCTCTCTATAGCTCTGTCTATTTCAACATTCTCCTTAGTGGTCGAAACCAAGTATTGGGCTGTGGAATCTCTTTTTGTAGCTTCTTTACGATTTTCTGTACTTTTTTCAACGTGCTTTTCTTCTAGCTTTCGATCACCATCTTGGATATTCAGCAATTTCCATATTGTTGCATCAAGGAGATGAGCGAAACTTGTAGTACTCTGACCATGCTCTTCTTGGCCTGTCGTACAACGCTCACTATCTATTTGACTGTCCTCTTTTTCTTCTCCGTTCCCAGAAGGTTGACTCTTGGCAAGCTTGTCACGAGATTCATGAATCCTTTCTTCGGAGCTTCCCTTTACAGACTTACATTCATGTAAGACAGGCTTATCAAATTTTTCAGTGCTTCCTCTGGTTTCCTCGACATCCTGTTCAACCGTGGCTCTTTCTCCAATGGTCTCATTAGGAGGAAAAATCTGGTCTATTGTGGTTACTTCTGCTTCCTCTAGATCATAGATTTCCTTATTGCTCTTGACAGGAAAGTTTTCGGCGAGTCTCTTCCACTCACCTTGACTTTTGTCCAGTCTCCCCGGGTTTTCAATCTTCTCTGTTTCAGCTCCTACAAATTCATAAGGTTGTTCGAGTTTGCAAGTATCCGTTAAAATCTCTGGATTTAATGTTGTCACGCCTGGGTCATCTTCTTGAAACTGGAGGTTTATCTCTGTATCCTGTTGTTTGAGTGTTTCGATCCTTGCTGCAATTCCACCACTTTTCAAAGATATGGGTGCATCGAGTCCTTGAGATTCTTGTTCTAAAGAATTCCGAATTTGGTTGTCGTATATATCTGATTCTTTAAAGTTCTTTCGTGTTGAAGTATTTTCTTGTTCTACGGGTGCTTTAACGTCCATTGAACCGCTACAAATTCCCCTCGTATATAACGTATAATCACCTGGATTCATGGCAGAATCTTGAATAGGACCGCTAAAATCGATCACTGGGTCGAAATTCTCAACATTTTGACAGACCAAGCCTAGCTTATTCTCCGAGGATTCCCAGCGTACCTCGTTATTTTCATTCATAATTCATGTCTCTGCCTCACGGCTAGTATCTTGGCTGACGGGCAGGCCAATTGTCTTTCTCTTGCTTTTATGCCTGTGCTTTAGAGGTCCATCATGACATTCCATCCTCTCTCTTAAGACGTCTAGATCATTGAATATGTTTGTCCCGTTAATTTCGTCCTTTAAGCGTTCAAAATACAAATCTCCATATCCCCTTTTGTTTTTATAGTCATCAAATTCACCTGAGACCTCAACTAAATTTTCTCGTATGCTATCAATTCTTTCAAGCATACTATTATTGTTGTTCATTAAAACCTTTAAATCATGTAAATCAACATTATTTTTAACCTTCAACTGAGAGATTTCTGTTTCCAAGAAAGCATACTGAGAGTCTAATTTTAAATGAAACTTTTCCAACTCGTGGATTGATTGGCGAATTTGGAAAATTGGTTCTGACAGCGATGCAAATGATGAATTCAGCAGCATTGGCTTATGGCTTTTTAGAGGTGTACTTGCATCAAGCATAACATCTTCACTGTAAGCCGGACTCACTTGTTGTTGTTCCATGAGAGACGCTGTCTCATCATAATCATCCAAACTCTCTTCGTCAAAATGCGACCTTCGCTTATCCTTATCTAATGTACCACGATAATGATCCTTGCTGACACGTCCAACTCCTGAGCCAAAATTTGCTATTATTCTCTTGTTATCACCATCCATAAATCGAATATCATGCAAACTTTCTACTAGTATATCAAATGCCTGAGCTTTTGAGATTCTATCTTGTCCTCTAAGGCCATCTAATATCCTGTGCTTGATAACAATATCTTTTGTCAACAAATGTCGATCTACGCATTCGTCATTCCCTTCTGCGAATAATTCAATTTCTAAATTCTTCAACAACCGGAACATATGGTGTGGTCTTATGTATGACTCTTTGCTGGTTTTTGACCATACGTAATCAAATATCGATGGTTCTGTATTCTGATCAGGAATTTCTAGTATTGTAGTTGGAGCTCTCGTTGGAGTTCTAGGTGGTGTCCTGGGAAATACAGATAAGTGATTGCCCCTGTAAGAGGAGAATGGAGAAGACGGCGTCGGTGGTATCGGTGATTCAGGAGGTCTAAGTGATCGAGGAGATGAAGTCGGTGTGGAAGTAGAAAAGGACATGGAAGTGTGTGTATTGCTTTTGAAAGGGATTTGTTTATCTAAAAACCACTTGATGCTTAATATAGTTGTAATATTATTAATAGCAGAATTGTCTTGAGTGCTGTATATATTTGCGTTGTGTAAGCTTCAATAGAAGGAATGTGTCAAAAAGTACAATTTAACAACCAAATGGTTAAAAAAAAACCAATTAATTAATTAAATTAATTACATTAAATATTGTTTATCAATTGGTAAATACACGAAAAATCCAGGCAGATGACCGCTTCTTTTCCCCAATTGGGAAATGTAATTACGTTTCTACACAAGTGAAAGAATGATGTATGAACATCTGAGTAGATGGATGAGGTGGCATTATCAGTTTAGATATTTCATCAGTTATCATTAATTCGATGGCAATTTAAGTCCTATGGTAATTATTTTGAAAATTATAAGGAATAAAACTTAGAATTGATATTTTCTGTATAATTTTCACCAAATTATTAAATTAGAACAACGGAGGACGTACAGAAGTCACACCATAGAATGTTGCCAAATATAAACATACAGGCAACATAGAATACATACATCCTCTATTTGGAATTCGACAGTCAATGACAAACATCTCTAATAGCAACTTCAGTAATATGGGGAGCATGAAGTGACTACACACATGTTGGTTTATATGTATAGATACCTTTGCAGTTTAGAATCTTCTTACAGGTTAGCTATCACTTTTTTGCATGTTTTTGTAGAACAACATGCAAATGTGAGAGGTAAATTCAACTTACAAAAAATCGCATAGTTAAAAGAAAAAAAAAAGAGGAAATGATTACAGGATTCTTCTTCATGTCCCACGATTATAGGCAATCTGTATTAAAAGAATATGTCGTTTGATAATAATACTCCAACAACAACTACTGGTAGCACGGCAAAATCCAGTAGTGGAACTGAATATGGCTACAGTGATGGCCACCAACTGAGTAACTATCGCGGACAACATTACAGAGGACGCGGTAGAGGCAATAGTAAAGATGGTTCGTATAGAGGCAGAGGAGGAAGTTCGTATTATGGAGGATATGGAGATGGAAGAGGGGGAACTAGCGGAGCTGGGCGATATAATTACTACGGGAGTAGTAGCAGAGGTAGAGGAACATATAATCACAGTTTTAATGGCAGAGATACATATTCCCCTAATGATCAACATGGCGAGAGCCAACAGCAGGAGAAACAGACTGAGGGTAGTACAAGTCCGAAAGAAAGAGAGACAGAAACGACTGGCTTTGAGACAGAGAATAGAGGAAGTTCAGGATCATATCGCGGATCGTATCGTGGCCATTATAGAGGTGGGTACCGAGGACGAGGAGGTCATTATGGGGGCTTTCCTCATAGCAATGGTTACGACCCGAAACACTCAAATGGAGATCCGAAGGGTACCAGTCCAAGATTCTATAAAGATACAATTTCGCGAGATAAACTAAAATCTTTCAATAATCCCTGGATTAATATCATGGGAATAGTCGATGAGCAAACACAGAACAAGCTAGAGGCTCGATTCAACGAATTATCCAAAGTAGATAAGGAGATTATGGAATTACAGAAATCAAAGTTAAAATTGGAAAATTATATGGCTAGTTTAGAAAAGCAGGCTACACGGGAAGAATTGCATGTTCAATTAACAAACGAGAAACTAGAAGAGTTTACGTATCTCTAATACTGAACAATTGTATATTTGTGTAGGTAATTAGGTCAAGGTCTTTTTTTTTTTAATTCTCATGTATAAATACAGCAAAATGGATAACGAAGATTTATATGGTGTAATGTGTAATAAATCTTCGTTTTGTTTTTCTGGTGGAAGTTAAGGGAGAAACTTTTCGTTATGAATTTTTTTTTGAATTGGCACCGTCGAATATATTGACCAAACAATTCATCCTGCCAGAGCAATGTTTATCACAGAATTGTTACCCTCGGACTCTGAAAACCCACTTTTACACTATGCTTTGTATGGTGCTATGCTTTTCGGAGTATTTAAGCTTACCACTGGTACCTTGAGCTTGATTGCTCTCATCTTTGATTTGTTTATCTTACCACCAGTTAATTTCCAAAAATATGGAGCAAAAAAAGGAAAATGGGCAGTTGTTACTGGTGCATCTGATGGAATTGGTAAAGAGTATGCCTTACAATTAGCCAAGAAGGGCTTAAATGTGGTGTTGGTTTCCAGAACTCAATCGAAGTTGGAGTTGATTGCCACTGAACTTGAATCAAAATATAAAGTTTCCACGAAAGTCATTGCGTTTGATGCTTCTACTGATGAAGAGGCAAACTATGTCGCCATTAAGGATGCAATTGCTGATTTACCAGTTACTGTTTTGATCAATAACGTGGGTCAATCACACTCAATCCCCGTTCCATTCTTGGAAACCGAGGAAAAAGAAATGAGAGATATTATTACTATCAACAATACTGCAACATTGAAAATTACCCAAGTTGTTGCACCTGTTATCGCATCTACTGTGAAAAAGGAAAAGAAAAAGGTACGTGGTTTAATCTTGACTATGGGCTCATTTGGAGGATTATTGCCAACTCCATACTTGGCTACTTACTCTGGGTCCAAGGCTTTCTTGCAAGCTTGGTCTGCCGCTCTTGCAGGTGAGTTGGCACCTCAGGGTATCGATGTGGAATTAATCATTTCCTATTTGGTTACTTCAGCCATGTCCAAGATTAGGCGTACTTCTGCAACTATTCCAAACCCCAAACAATTTGTTGCTTCTGTATTAAGAGGGGTCGGTCGTCGTAATGGAGCACAAGAGAGATATGCTACTAATACGCCATACTGGTCCCATGCCTTAATGCATTTCGGAATCGCTAACACAGTGGGTGTTTTTTCCAAACTTGCCAATACATTAAACTTAAAGATGCACAAATCTATTCGTGCTAGAGCTCTTAAGAAGGCCGCTAGATTGAGTTCTCAATCCCAATCAACTAAGAGTGATTAAATAGAATTTAAATATTTTGTAGCTTTTCGTTGTTGACATAGATTATGTGTTGCTCATGGAAGCTTCGAGAAGAATCTAGATAGCGGAAAAAAAATATCAACTGCTCATTCGCACACTAGCAAAATTTTCCGCCCAGGGAGAAAAACCCAACATATGTACCGCAATTTGATTCAATTGACTTACAGAACTACCACTTCTTTCTCTTCTCTTTAGACAACACATTTGAAGCATCATGGTAAAGGAAACAAAGCTTTATGATTTATTGGGAGTAAGTCCCACTGCCAGTGAACAAGAGATTAAGAAGGCATATAGAAAGTCTGCCTTGAAATATCATCCGGATAAACCAACTGGGGATACAGAGAAATTTAAGGAGATTTCAGAAGCATTCGACATTTTATCTAACGAGGACAAGAGACAAGTTTACGACGACTATGGTCTAGAAGCTGCTAGAGGGAATGCCCCTGCCGGTGGAGCAGGGGGATTTAGTGGATTCGGTGGAGGTGGAGGAGGAGGTTTCCATCCAGGAGGGTTTTCACAAGCAGATGCATTTAACATATTCTCTCAAATGGGAGGGTTTGGAATGGGAGATGATGGCTTCACCTTTAGTAGTAGCGGTTTTGGTGGCGGTAGTCCATTTGGAGGGTTTGGAGGAGGTGGAAGTGGTTTCGGTGGTGGAAGCAGTGGTTTCAGAAGTGGTGGAATGCCAGGAGGATTTGGTGGTGGGCGCTCACAACCGGAACCAGATGTCGTTACGATGCCATTAGCAGTTACATTAGAAGACTTATATAAAGGTGCTACCAAGAAAATGAAAATTAATAGAAAAGACCCTAATGGGTCCAAAGGTTCGAGTATCCTTACGGTAAATATTAAGCCAGGATGGAAAGCTGGGACCAAGATTAATTTCACAAATGAGGGTGATTGGCAACCGGAATGTGGTTGCAGACAGACTATACAATTTGTTATTGAAGAAAAAGCACATAGCACCTTCAAAAGAGATGGCAATAATTTGCATATGAATTTACATTTAACCTTTAAGGAATCCTTGTGTGGATTTGAGAAAGATGTTATGACCATAGATGGAAGAAGAATCCCAATGTCTCGATCACAGCCCGTTCAACCAAACACAACGACCACCTATCCTGGATTAGGTATGCCAATAAGTAAATCACCAGGTCAAAGAGGTGATTTAATCATTACATTCAAGGTTGATTATCCGGTGTCATTGACTCCCGAACAGAAACAAGCAATCTTGCACTATTTTTAATTGAATCCCATGAAAAGCACAATATAGAATTTATGTATTTATAGTTTTTGCATTTTTATATTTAGTATTTTGTTCATAGTTTTGCATTCTTCCTTTCAAAGTTTTATATATAAATGTAGTTTGTTAATATTTTGTTTCAATATATATTTACGTAATTAAGTTTAATTTAATTATTGGCTAGAAATAGCAAAAAGATTAGTGAACTCTAATTGTAGGCGGAAAAAAAAATAAAAATTCATATAATTTAATCAAACGCTTTACTTCCCAGTGTAGACTTCAACCTAAACATTCAATATATCAAAGAGCAATGTCAGTTATATTAGCATCAGCAGGATACGACCACACGATACGTTTTTGGGACGCATTAACAGGGGTATGTTCGAGAACTATACAACACACCGATTCCCAAGTCAATAGATTAGAAATAACTTCAGATAAACGATTTCTCGCTGCTGCCGGGAATTTATATGTCAGATTATATGATATACGACAAAGTGGAAACACAGGAAACACATCAGCACAGACATCTGCGGCAAATAATGCAGGCGCTGGACATTCTAATAGCTCCAACAATAATCCTGTTATGACGTTTGAAGGTCACTCTAGCAATGTCACTTCGTTGGCGTTCCAAGCTGAGAATAAATGGATGGTGACATCACTGGAGGATGGCATGGTTAAAGTTTGGGACGTAAGGTCTCCCTCTGTTCAAAGAAACTATAAGCATAATTGTCCAGTGAATGAGGTTGTGATTCACCCCAATCAGGGTGAATTAATAAGTTGTGACCAAGATGGAAATATTCGAGTATGGGATTTGGGTGAAAATCAATGTACACACCATTTAATTCCGGAAGATGATGTGCCAATAAATTCTTTGTCTGTTGCAAGCGATGGATCAATGCTTGTGGCAGGTAACCATAAGGGAAATTGTTATGTCTGGAAAATGCAAAATCAAAAAGATTTGACTTCTTTAACTCCAGTCACCAAATTCAGGTCTCACCTGAAATATATCACCAGAGTGTTATTGCTGACAGATATGAAACATTTGGCTACTTGTTCAGCTGACCATACTGCAAGAATATGGTCTACCGAACAGAATTTTGCTTTGGAAACAACATTGCAGGGCCATCAGAGGTGGGTATGGGATTGTGCATTTAGTGCAGATAGTGCCTATTTAGTGACAGCATGTTCAGACCATTATGTGAGACTCTGGGATTTATCCAACAGTGAAACAGTGAGGCAATATAATGGGCATCATAAAGCAGCAGTATGTGTGGCATTGAACGATGTGTAATTTTCTATAGGATATCATCTAAATCAAATGTATAGAATAATGTGACTAGTTCACCAATCGCATTGTAAATTCCGATGCCATTGGGCATCCATTCAACCCTAATGTTGGCAAATTTGAAGAATGTATTCAAACAGTATTCATTCCGTTTCCCTTTAGCATCATTAGATTCACACCGGCTAGCGGTCGATTGGAAAAGTATCATCATGTCTTCTAGGCATTCCCTTTCTTGTGGGATGCTGAGTTGTTTGCCAAAGAAAAACCCACAGCTGCATAAAACATGTATAAATTCAACAGTTTGGTGCAACGACGTACTGGATACCATTGTCAACTCATTATACATTTTAACAACCTCGGCAATCTGTTTGACAAGGTCTTGATAGACAGATCCTGTGATTCTTAACTGCAGGCATAAGTCTGAAGGAATATTTATCAAGAAAAGCTTCCTTGCTTCTATACGTAAATGTTCAACTGCTTTCTGGAAGTCGCCTTCTTCACCAATATCAACAGATGCAGAATTTTCCAATACACAGTAGACAATGTTAAACGGGAAAGTGAATAATGGAAATACTTGTTCTAGGATAACGTCCTCTAAGAGGGAACTAAAAAAAGGCAAGCGACTTTGAGGAACTAATACTTCAGTATACAGGTCGTCAAGCAATTTAATGATATAATTCCAAGGTTTCTTCTTGACCAAAGTATGAAGTTCGTTCAGAAGATATTTCATGTAAGTTTCATTATCAAGAGCGAGATCCGTCTTTCCTAGAAGAATAAATGCCAAAAAGAAGAGCCTAGTATTGAAGTTCTTTTTGTATACTTGCAAATCAAGCTTGGCATTACAGCAAGGACAGATTGGTTCCATCAACTCATCTTGTGATTCAAAAAGCCATAAAACGGATTTCAATGACGATGATTTAAGCCTTGATCTACATTTCTGACAATAATGAGAGAAGAATGGATCATATACTAGTTGGCATAGTCGGCAATTGCAATGAAAGTAATAGGTTGTGAATATTCGGCTTCTTCTAAGTTCCCTAGGTAGGCATGTCTCCACGTAGCTAACAGTAATTTCTTCTCCCTTTCTAATTGGCAAAGTACAAGTCAATTCATAAGTAGACGAATCCTTATAAGTCAAAACTGAATTAGATAGGCAACTATGATTAATCAACGAAAAGGTTGGATCTAACCCAAGACCAATTTCCATGTTGGTATGGTCGTGTAATTTATTGCAATTTATGATAGTAATCGCTATCAAATTCTCTATAAATCTCCATTGTCGCTTATTCAGTGGGATTTGAGTGGACTGATTATAATTCCTACCATAAAATTCCTTAATAATGTTAACCATTATATTCTTCATGGATGTTAGCTCCCGAGCGTGTTCTCCGTTGGCACGTTGGTGACTTTGCATGGTACATAGGTTATTAACCCTTTCCTTGAATTTTGAATCCTCTAAATAACATAAATAAAAGCGAAATAAGAATCTTAATGTTAGCTTGTCTTCTTCTGGTAATGATACCATTGATTTGTCAATAAAGGGCTTTAGAACCGATTCATACTTTTTAATACTATGTGGAACTCTAAAGTCAATATTTTTGCCATTGACCTCATACTCATTAAAAAAGAGGACTGATTTATATTCAAATGCCATTGGCTTATCTCCGTTGGATATATCTCTTTTGGCAACGATCCTTCTATCTCCAGGTTTAAGTTGCTTTCCGATTACTTCTATGTTTTCATTGTCAATATCATCATGAAATTGTCGATTTGAATTCTCATCATTGGGGAAGATATAAACTTCATTGGATAAAAGCTCTAGAAGTTGTTGTGTGGGGTCCTTTTGCGAATCCGATTTTGACATGGCTTGTTGCTTAAAGGGGTAAATTAAAGAGGATTGAGAGCTGAATAACTTTTGACCTGTCAAGTCAAAAATTGGTTGCAAAACTTTTGAGTTAAAAAAAAATTAATATGAACTATTACTTTATAAACAGAAATTCAAATAAATGTATATAGTAATATGTATGCAAGATAAAGAGTTGGAAAAACCAAACATATTCTATTGATTTGAGATATGGCTAACGTGATTTTCATAGTGTAATAACCCTTCTGTAGATTGCTGAGTATTCATGGTTATTCCCAACGGAGGGTCACGCGAGTCAAAATCTAATGAAGTATCCAATAAATCAATGGCACCTAATGAATTATCGAATCCCGACATGTTAGTAATATTATTTGTACTTCTATTTGGTTCACTTTGTTCAGAAATCTTTGACATATCATTATGAAATGATTGAAACGGAGGCTGAGTGGGAGAGCCTTGCTGAGGAATATCATCAGAACGACGTTCGATGTGTAAACCTTCTGGCTCCATTGACTTGAAATCATCCTGAAAAAACCCACCCAATTCAACCGTCCATGCTAGATACTCATCTACCCAACATCTAACTATCCACCAAGCTCCAAAACCTTCACCACCTGACAAACTAATCTCTCTTAAACAAGCTGTTAATAAATTAGATGCTAATAAAATAAATAACCGAGAATTAATTTCAGGAAACCTTCCAGGGAGATTGGTGACATAGTCAGCGAAGTCGAACATTGTTGGTCCTGTGTTTTCTTTCTTTTCATTTATCATCTCAACAATCTCAGAATTTAAAATGGACGCCAAAATTTCAATATTTCTTTCGCTACATGGAAGTTCGCGACTTATCAACTCATGAATATCTAACTTTGACCAGTCTTGAAGCATGGATTGCTTTTCTGTGGGATCATTTAAGATTCTCGATGCTGGTTGACCAGTTTCAATTACCTTAATTAATCTATTTAATAAATTCACAAAATGTTTAGCCAATTTCAATTTCATGATTACAAAATTTTTGGAAACCTTTGAATTCATTAAAGTTGTAGATAAAGTTTTGATATATCCATTTGAAATTTGCTTTAATTGTCGTAATTGTTCATCGGGTATCATAAATTGTAATTGTAATTTGTTTAACATACGAATCATTTTCTTATACATGAGCAAATCACATTGTTTTACCCACTCAATTATGCATTCATTAGTGTAAAGTTTAAACACAGGTGCAGTTAAGATACTATTAAAATTATTAAAGCTAGCAAGAAGCTTTTTCAATTGCATAAATCTAAGTGATTCAAAAATTGCATTTACATGCACTTTATATAAGGAATGCAAAGTATCGGCAATATCGTAGTCAGTGTCTCTTGGTAAATATGGATATATCGAGGGAAGCTGTATTGCTGTATATGGATCCGAGCTTGATGCTGCATTACTGTTCAACAATTTAAATAGATTTGGAATATACTTCATATGCGATATCAGTGGCAATTGATCTGAAATGGTTGGAGTTATTATAGATGGCGAGTTAATCGGGGTATACGATGGAGTATGTATATCAGATGCTGATACAGGCGAATCATCAAATGAAATCGATGAGTTTGTTGAAGATATTGGTGAATGAACTTGTTGATTTGTGAATCCACTTAGCAATTGTTGTTGTTGATACTGCAGTTGATGTTGCTCATGCAGTTGTGTTAACAGCTGAATATTTTGATCACCATTTAATTTGATCCCACAATAATGATATTTGGATTGACCTCTCATCCCCAATCTTCGAGTTGTCAAGTTTGGAAATAATATTCTAACCAACTTTCCAAAACTAGCAGGTGACAATGGAGATAAGCCATTATCGGCACAAATTTGAACATATCTCGCATAGATTCTATTACGTGGAACAACAGCAGTCGGAGAAGCATCACACGCATTTAATAGCCATACCATCCCAAACAACTGACGTTGTCTTTCTTTATTTTCTTTAGCTTTGAATTGTTCATTTGTTCCAGCTTGAGGAACCATATTGATAGTTTCATTTTCCAATTGTTTAATATTAATTGCTAGTTCAGAAAGTGGTACATCCCTAGTTTTCAAAGCAAGTTGTTTCAATTCGGATTCTCCTTGATCAGTGGGCAAAGTATTATCTTGTTTCCGTGTTTTCTTTCTTTTTTGTGGCAACAGTGATTTATTAGATGTATTTGCAGAAGAAGTCCCTTCTTGTGGTATTTGCTGTTGAAGTTGTGGCTGTGGAATAAATGGTTGATATGTGGGTACGTTTGCTGCCGGCATAAGTCGTTGTTGTTGCGAAGCCCGAGAAGATGGATGAGAATGAATCGATAAAGGTGGAGTATAGTCAAATTGATAACTTTGCTGCAGGCGATGATGACCCTGTTGTTGTTGAAATATTGGTTGAAGATTTTGCTGTTCCTGGTATTGATATTGGGGGTTTGATGATGTCCTGTACATATGCTGCAGCTGCAGTTGTTGTTGTGGATGCTGGTGTGGTTGGTGTTGATGCGCATCTGTCAGTTGATGCAATTGGTACCCTGAAGAGATCAGATCATTGGAGTCAGTTTTTAGAAAGGTATGTAATGTGGGCCCAGTGCCGTAATGATACTGTTGTGATTGTTGAGGATAAGGAGACATTTGTGATCCTTGATCTAGTTGCTCAGACTTTATTTGGGAATTCATGTGTGACGAAGATTGTTGAACTTCGTAAGAACCGTCAGCGCTTGGATTTTGCGAGTTTGGTGTGCGATTCATATGAGTTGTTAATGACTAACTTGAGATGATTCTATTATTGGAGTGTGCAAGAAAACAAACTTTTGATGGGAACAAAACAAAGTTTCAATTTTAATTTTATAAATAAATCCACTTTCCAAAGATTGACATGAACACGTTATATGCAAGTTTTATGTAATCGTTAAGGTAATTTAAGAATCGGTTTTCTACTTTTCTTAAATCAAAAAAAATTCTTTATCTTCTCCTTTCGGTTTCTTTTCTATGGTGACTTTATTTTCTGCACAGAGCAAAAAAATTCTTAGTATCGGAACCTTTAGATGTAGCTTTAAAACAACTATCAATAAAACGAATGGCAAGAGCTATATTCAATTGCTGTTCACAAACTTTTTTTGGGGGTTGTGGGGAGGGGTTGAATGATAAACAATAAACTTTTAAAATGCCAAATGATATAACTGGAATATTCTAACAATGAAATAAAAAATAGAATACAATGGACGGAAATCAATTGCTTAGTAAAATATCAATCTTGACGTCAAAACTTTGGTGGATGCAATATGCTACTAGCGAACTTTCGAAAGGCAGTATCAGCAATTCAATGGACAAAAAAAAAATTGATCTTGTTTGTCTTTACGATATTAGATCTTCTTTTTCCCTGTATGAATCTTCTCTCTAACAAAACCACCTAGAAGAAAAAAATACAATAAAATTTATTATTATTAAGGGGAAATTTTTTTGGTTTGTTCAAAATTATGGATCAAATCAATTTTAATAAAAAATATAATTTTCTAGTTAAATTGATAATTAATAATTTTAATTAAAAAAAAAAATGCTGTCTCTCTTTTTTGTTTGGCAGTAAATTCTTAATGTGCAGTCCAACTTTTCAATAAACAGCAAATTGGAATTCTGAAGCTATACAAACTTGAATGGAATCTATGAACTATGAAATGAATGAGTTGATGTGTTAACGTGATGATATATTTAAGTTCCTCGGTGGGGGGATGACTGTTTGATTTTTTTAAAGTTGTGGTTGGAATGTCAACAGAATTCAAATTGCAGATTTTATTTTTATTTTTCGGCTTCTTTTTTGATGTCTCTATCTGTGGAAGATAAAAAGGGTGAAGGGATATATCAAACCAATTGGCTTATATGGTACCAGACTTTTGATGGATCTTATAGTCACTGTCTAAGAAGAGAAGAAGTGAGCTTTAAAAAGAAAGAGAGAACTTAAAAACAATTTTGGTGGAAAATTGTTTTAATTTATAAATAAAGAGAACATAATTAGGGTTTTTTTTCAGAACAATGAAAATTAATAATCAACTTTGGTTGTAAAAAAAAAGGAAGGATGGACTGCCCAATTAGTTGGTCCATTCTTTTTACGAATGGCTATACATGAAAGGAACCAATGCGGGACCTTGCTTTATAGTTGTAAGAAGTCATCAATCGCCCTTTCTCCTCTTTTTATACTGAAAAGGAAATGCCTTAAAGCTCACGAGTTAAACCATCCACAGACTTTGTGAATGCGCTTCCTTTCTTGCTCACACCATTTCGGACCAGCTACTCAAGAAAAAAAGTATCAACGCTGAATGGTGTCTAACTTCAGCCCATTACCTCAATTGTTGGAACCATTGAAGAAGCTTATCTTCATGGGCTATGTATATTTATCTCATAAATCAGGCTAGTTTTAGACCTGGGAGGACAAAACATCCAATCTTCAATACATCCAGGTTTATCTCATCTCAGTTTTCTGCAAAAGAAAAAAAAATTAATTTTTTATTGTCAACTTATCTTTCCCTTCTTCCATATTTAATCCTTCCTATAGATATATATATATACAGATAAACATAAACAAACATGGCTGTCTTAAACTCCAACCCTGAAATCCTCTTACGTAAGAGAAAGAATGCTGATAGAAAAAGATTAGAAAAACAAGAACAATCTCGTGAAAAGTTATTGAAACAAAAAAGAATAAGAAAGAAGCAACAACTTAATAAATTTCTTAGAGCAGAAACTTTAGTATCAAATCATAAATCAAATGAATTAGAAAGAAAGAGAATCAAGAATTTAACTAAAAAACAACAAAGATTGGCAGACTTACCCCAAACCGAAGAAGAACAAGAACAAGAACAAGATTACAAGTTATTATTTCTTATTCGTGTACCAAATCATACAAAAGGATTAAAAATTCCAAATAAAGCAAATAAATTATTACAAGTTTTAAAATTAACTACCGTAAATACTGGTGTTTTTGTTAGAGCAAATGACTCAACTATGGACTTATTAACTTTGATTGCCCCATATGTAATTGTTGGAAAACCATCATTAAGTTCGATTAGAAAATTGTTCCAAAAAAGAGCATGTATTTTAACTCAAGATGAAGAACAACCCGAACAATCTAAAGTCACCAAGCTTGATAATAATCAATTAGTTGAAGATAAATTTGGATCTGATTTAGGTTTGATTTGTATTGAAGATTTGATTCATGAAATTATGACCCTTTCTGAAAACTTTGTTGCAATCACTAGTTGGTTATTACCTTTCAAATTAAACCCACCAGTAAATGGTTGGGGTCCACAAGCTAAATTGGCTAAATTAATCCATTCTAATGAAAACAAACAATCTGTGAGTCTTTCTCAAGATTTTAAGTTACAAGAAGTTGAAGATATTGACGCGATTATAGATCAACAGAATTAGGAGAAGCCTCTTTTTGTTAGAAAGTGCATATTTTGTAAATTAGTTAGTTCAGAGTTTATAGTAAAGTCAAATACAGAGACCGGTCATAAGTTTGAACCTGAAAAAATCCTCGAAGTATTGATCTAGGTGATGATCATCGGAAAATGCAAAACTGCCCAAAACGCAGTTTAGTAAACTGTAAATTTTTTTTCACTTGATACCCCAGATTCTCGGTTTTAGAATTACTAAGCAACTTTGATGACAAAAACATAATCCAACTTTTGAACAATTTGCATTCTTTTGGTGTACCTCGATAAGAGAAGCCTTTTCCAATTGTTTATCTCTAATTATATAAGTTTAAAAATAATCCAACTTTAAGAAAAGAGTTCTCCTATTCATAATCCAAAATGTCAGTGATTCCAACAATTAAGGCATTTTTTAATGCCAATAGGCAATATGCGATAGTCGGTGCCAGCAACAATCCAACAAAATATGGATATAAAATTCTCGCTTGGTATCTCAATCATAACTTATCAATTATTCCCATTAATCCAAAAGAACAAGAAATATTAGGAACTAAAGTAGTTAACAATATTAATGATGTCGTAAAAGCTATAGCTTCTCATCAAGATATTTTAACCTATAAAACATCTTCAGTTGATGGGTTGAGTATTTCATTTTTAACCCCACCAAAAATTACTAGAGCTACAGTTCAAGATATTGGAAAAATTGATGGATATAAGGATGTTATCAAAGGTTTATGGTTCCAACCAGGTAGTTATGATCAAGAAGTATTGGATGCCGCACAAGATTTAGGAGTATTTGAAAAAGTCATTCATGAAGGGAATTGTATTTTGGTTAGCGGTGAGAACGGCATGCGTGCGGCTGGTTTATAGATTCAGTTCAATAATTGAATTGAAAACCACATTTTGCTCGGTATGAGGATAGAACGACTTCGTTCAGTTGTATATATTTCCCCAGATTAATTAGGTATCAAAAATAAATATTAATTAATTCAGCAATAAATTTCTCAATTGTAGATGGCTCAAGTATTCGGGGATACCTCGAAATGTAAAAGTTTTCAATGTTTGGTACTCCCACGCGAGTATCGTTTGGTTATGTATACTGCTTACGTTGTTATTTGATTAATCATATACTCTGAAGGTTCATCCAGTTAAATATATGATCTAAAACCATATTTAGAAATGGGAGTTACGTGATTCATTCTTTGCATTAGTTTGGTATTTATCAGTTAGTTTATGCAAGCCATTGCGTAAATTGCACACGTTTGTAGAGTTCAAATTTCATCGCCCGTCTGACAACTGAAGAATATCTTGAAGCATAACGAGCCAAGTCAGGCAAGTTTTGTATGAGAAAATGGCTATTCTTGTGTTGATATCTCTACTAGACTAAGTTGTAGGAATGAAAGTGAATCCATTAGACCAAGCAGAAGTGAGTATTTGTCTCACACTGAAAGATGCAACAGTTCTTTACGGGATAAGAGCTCTAGTGATATGAATTTTGAGGTTCATTCTATTTTAAAGAAAGAAGGAGATCACGAAGTTGTCAAAGCCACTGCAAGGGCGACGGACTGGATTAGCCCCCGGAGTACGCAAATAAAAAGATATTTATAATCTTGCATTCTTCAACGTTGAATGCTTCTATAGAATTTCCTTTGCTTGTGTCATTCCTAAAACCAAGACGAATTGGGCGGGCGGTGTCATGGAACATGTAACTTGGTGAATTTACTGGCTTGGTCATCATGGGTTCCACTACGTACACCACATGCCCCATACTACATCATTCGCGCATCCATGTCTTTTACCCATTTATCTATTCATTCACGGACTAGTCCCTTCCGTGGTCCATTCATTAGCTCATTCAGTCAGGTAGTCATTGTTCCATTCCTTGATTATTGTCTCCATCCTTCGATACCATCGAGATGCTTAATCCAACAAAGAGAAACCACCAGAAAAAACGTGATTTACAATCCTGGTCATTGGTCGGGCTTACGTATGTACTAGGATTTATGTAAATGAATCAAAGCTTCTCCTACACCCCCCTTATCCTCCTTGTAAACTTGGATTTTGGAGTAGTTGCTCGGGCCCGCCTGACCATTCCTATTATCAAAGGCTAAACAATCTCCACAAGAAGAATGATCAACTGCCACGCCGCTAGAATTCGAAGCACAATTTTGCAGCCATGACGAGTAATCAGACAACTATGAAAACATCGTTGAGGTCACCTCTAAAACACAATTCAATTAATCCCTTACATCCTCTCGTATAGTAAACCTAAACCCATTTAATCTAAACTTTAAAATTTTAGGGTTAAAGTGTTTTATGCTCATCACCATCTTTTTAGCATGAACTCTTGTTTACATACAGTAAACTTTCGGCAGTTAATTTACAGCCTTCCCCAAATTTGCTTCAATTAGTTTAGAAAGTAATAATCTCCCTTCTCGTATATCAAATTTAATCAACTGTTGATATCCACAATGGGAGATGTATCACCAATTATGCTTTCGTATTTATATGACAATTTCAGTCATTTTCCAAATGCCGATGACATTAGATTTATGATAACCGATAGCTTGGATTATTATCTTTTCAGACTTCGACACTTGAAAGGACGCAACTTGTAAATACTTTTAGATAGACAAGAAAACGGGTAGCATTTCTAGAGATACACTTTTCGTATTCATTTATTTTCTCAATTGGCAACAAATGTACCTCCGGCGGTCCCATTGATAACGTTTCTTTTGGATACTCCATTAGATATTACTCTAGAATAAATTTCTAAGTCAATATATAGACTCCTTGATCAGGCGCTAGGTAGAGAATCGGAT